TTCGTCAGCCTGGTAAATATGGGACAGATGGATCACTACATGTACAGACTGCTCCGTTTGGGCTGTCAGCCTGGTGTTCTGACCCTATGGAGGGGGTGAGGGGTGCTTTCCTCTGCACCGCACAGCTTCACGGTTTTAATCTTTGCCTTTTGCTCCGGAGCCGTAGTGTCATCCCCAAACAAACTGAGCTAGATCCAAAAAGGAAACCTAATCCAGGGCTGAAATCTGGACAAGAATGGAAACTGAGGTACGTTGTTTATTCAGCAGTGGAAAATGTCGAACTTACCTCTACAGAGTCATACACTTGTGCAGCTGGCATTACTGCATAGCGTGAGATGAAATATGAGGCACAAAGTCATTATTACGCTATCCTTACATGCTGTTCCCTGGCCTTTTCTACTGGGAGGCCCGTTTATGCACACAAACACTGATTCACATGTGTACATACCTTTTTATGCTAGCATACATATGTGCAAATATACAAAGGAAAACTGCAAGTTATTCACCTAGTTTTTCATAATCTGTCAGTTTTGTTGTTTTGGAGAGCCAACAGCTGCCATGTTCATCCATCTTCTTGTGCAGCGATCAGCTTTCAGGATTCAGCAGCTCTACAGGCGTTATTAAGACAACAAGCAGCAGCATGCCATCTTAGATTAACGTCTTTATGCGTAGTTTTCTGTCTCTGCTTCTATGGCTGCAATGAGCAATTATTTTGCTAATCCATTAATCTGTTGACTATTTGTTCGATTCATTGATTAATAATCGGACGTGGAAATGTTCTTACAGAATTAAACCAGGTGAAAATCGAACTCTTTTCACTTGAGGAGGTCTGGATAGAGCGGATTGACAGATTAAGTTTGATTTCTCTTAAAGGCAAAATATTTCTAATTTTAAAATAATTTTGATATAATTCCTTCTCTAAGTCGTTGTACAGTCTATTTACTCCAGTTAACGATTAATCGATTACTGAATTAGTGGAAGTTTATTTAATTGTTTGAGCTCTCTCTGCTTCCAGACTCTTCAAATGTTCACAGCTAAAGATTTAAGCTTTCTTTTCTACTAAATCAAGGTGTAAACTTTACAACTTTTACCTCAGTTTGTCCACAGAAAACTGCATCTGTGTTTTATTTTTATTTCTTTTGTTGTAACAATACTCTGGCCAATAAGTGTGAAAAATCTTACTTATTTCTCTTTGGGTTTGATCGAAGCAGAGTTCACATGAATAATCAGTTCCAGGTTGCTTTTGGTGGAGGCAGTGTGGTGATGTGGGAAGCTTCTCCTTCGTTATCGTCGGAGGCTTTCACTCGAGCTGGTTTATCAGAGACGCCCTGCAGGATAAAGATAAACCAAGACAGGTTTTTAACCCTTTAAAGCCCGATCCAAGAATAAAACAAAACAGAAATGACTTTTTTTTGGTTTGAAGTCCTTATTTGGCCTTTTAACAAAATATGTAAAAAGCAAAAACAGAAATAAATTTTTGATATTAATAATTTATTACTATGCGATAAGTCAAGATTATTTTTTGTGTAGTCTTCTGCCCTCTGTTATCAGGTATATCTGATTGTGTACAATAGGATTTTGAGCTAAACTTTTACCATTAAATTATGCAAAAGGTGTCAGATGCAAAACAATTTCAGAAACCGTATGTATCAAATATGATACATTTGGCATTACAGGGTTAAAGGCTGGTACCAATTATGTTGACATCAGTTAAACCAAACCTCAGTATCTGTTTCTGATTTTTACTTGTTGAGATGATTCTTTAGGCTGATGAAGTTTTATCTTCCTCTTGCCAAATGATAAATATTTAACGATTACAAATTAGAAACATTTACTGACAAATCAACTAATTTTTTTATAGCTTAAAGCCGATGGAGGGACATCATGGCTGCTTTATCGACCAAACCTGACGCAAGAAAAAAAATGCTGCTATTGGCAAAAAATATGGCTTGGATCATCCATCTCAACTGCAGAATTTGGGGTCCATTGGTTTTTTTATTAACATTTTTCATGGTTTAAAAGCTGACAGGAATGGGATTTTTTTTTTTTTTTGGGGTGGGGGGGTGGGGTCTCCCCCTTTCAGTTGTGACCTCATCCAGACCGGAGACCTGTGGGATTATTTCTGTCTGTCGAGGAACACGGTGACTCAGTTAAAATGGCAGAACCTATAAAAGATCTGCTCACCAATCAGAGAACTCGCATTTCAACCTGAGGTTCAGTGCCTTGCTGGGAGGCACAGTGACCAATGACAGGTGGAGGCTGGAATCAAACCCTCCCACATGGTGATTGCTCTACCCTTTGAATAAAAGGCTTTGATTGGCAGATTTATTTATTTTGGGTAAACAGTTTCCAAGTAGCTTTTTCTGTAAATGAAAGCAGTCAAATTTGTTTCTTTAAGAAAAAATCCGGTCAGCAAGGAATAATCAGTGGATCATTATTCATACCTAAAACTACGTTCGCTGTGATTTAATGAATTTAGCGTTAATCAGTAAAAAAATACAAATAATAATTTTCGTTTTGATCACTGAGTCGGGGAGCGGCCATTTTTCCCCAAATATAGTAACACCTCACTCCTGCCTTCCTCCGGCAGTGACGTCACGGTGCGGTAAGCCTAGCGCCATTCTACCCGCTTTACAAGCAAAATCAATGGGAACTACCAGACACATCTGCAATCAATAACAATTATTGAAGATTTCCAGAGGACTTCTCCATTGAAATTCAACAGAGCTATAGTGAAACTGACAATGCCCACGTGCATGGCAGCTGGATGTTGGAATACATCGGGTGAAAGTGGGAAAAAGAGTTATTTCACATTTCCTTCACTCAACAGCCGATACCGCACCACGACAAATCACAAACCAGTAGTGTTCTTTGACAAACAAAGGAAAGTTACTCTTAATTAAAAACAATGCTTTTTCTCATAGTAGCTTCATCTGGTCTGTTCCTGTTTGGCTGTGACTCCATCCTGGAGAGAAATATCAGCTGTGCTGCTGCCATCAACACCTTTGTTTATAGATGTTGGAGCTTGGCCTGTTTTCCAGTGTAGTCCTGTTTCTCTGACTGTGACTAACTGGATGATCTTCATCCTCTGACATGGGAGATGGTTCGGAGCTCGTCTGCCTGTCTGTGTGTTTCCTGGACGGGGCCGCCTGTGGAGCTGGTTGACAGTTGCCTTTTGTATCTCTGCTTCTTTTTCTACAAACAAATTTGTGTGTTTTCTGGACCTTTCTTTTTCTATGTCTGCTTCTGTCTCCTTGAACCCCAGTCGGCCTCAGCAGATGGCCGCTCACACTGAGCCTGGTTCTGCTGGTGTTTAAATAAATCTGGGTCAATTGGAACAGGATTTTACTGATGACATCACCACATTCAAAGCTCGTCTGGAGCTGCATTTCACCTCCTGGTTCTGCTGGAGGTTTCTTCCTGTTCAAAGGGAGTTTTTCCTCTCCACTGTCGCTACAAGCATGCTTGGTGAGAGGGATTGCTGAAGAGTCAATTACCCCATTTACACTACCCTTGAAAAACCGTGCCGAGACCAGTCCGAGCTCGGTAACTGAGAAAACTTATCGTGTGTAAATGGAAAGCAAACTGAACTGAACCGAGCTAGACACAACCGAACTGACCTAAGTGCAGACCAGTTCCAGAGGTGGGCTCGGCTCGGTTTTTCCCTGGCTCGGTTCTCTGATAACAAGAGCGCATGAGCAGAACGCGTCATCTCCGTCGGGCTGCACATCCCGATTCACACTCCATTCCAGTAGTTGGCGGTAATGCACCTCTGGAAGTTGCTTGCCAACCAACACAAAACAGAAGAAGAAGAACAACTATGAACAACTATAAACATCCACGAAAGGTTGCCGTCTTCACCTGACCCTCCACAAATACCGAAGTACAGCAATAATAATCAAGCATAACTTTGTGAATGTGACAGGCGCCGCCATTTTGATTTGCTTGATTCCCTCCTTCTTCGTCTTCTTCTTCTTGTGTTTTATGGTGGTTGGCAAACAACTTTTGGTGCATTACCGCCACCAACTGCTTGATTTCCTCCTTCAATACTGGCAGTAATACCGCAGATCATCACTAGGAGGCGAGGAGTCGAGGAACCGAGATAGCGTGACGTGAAAACGGTCGTCAGAACCGAGCTCGGCCTGGTTAACTGATCCGAGCTCGGACCGGTCTCGGCATGAATCGGTTTTTCAAGGGTAGAGTAAATGGGGTAATTGAGTCGATGCAATCAGCTGGTTTTCCTTAGATAGAAAACTTTGAATCAATCTGACTGGATGATAAGGTGAAGTGCATTGAGATGACATGATGTGAATTGGAGCTATAGAAATAAACTTAATTAAATTTAATTATCATTTATTGACCAGTATTTAATAATTTCATATTTAAAGTACTTTCAGAAGTTTGTGTTCTGAATATGACCGGACTTCTCCTTTAAAACAGATTAATCTGTTTTAAAGGGTTTCTGCGGGTCATTAAAAATATTTAAAAGTCATTAAATTATTATTGTTTAAATTAAGGCCTTTATTGGCATTAAAATTCATTAAATGTGTTTATTGTGGCATTTAAAATGCTTTATTAAAAAAAAAATTTATAAAAACAATTTCGTCAGACATATCACGATATAATTGCGTGGAACTGCTTCTGGTTGATGGCAAAGCTGTATGTTTAGAAAAGAAGCTTGGGTCGGAGAAAAGGCTAGAGAATGGGGGGGGGGAAAGCAAATTTCAACAAAAGTGGCTGGAAAACGAGGAATTTGGGACATGGCTGCAGCCTGTCGATGGGTACCGGTTGGTGAAATTAAAATTATTTGTAAGAGCATTAAAAAGCATTAAATTTGAGTTAATCATTCCCGTATAAACAGATTTCAGTGGGGTGGGGGGGGGGGTTGGGGGGGGGGGGGGGGGGGGGGGGGTTGGGTATTTTGTTCTCTACCTCGTGGCGTTTCTTTGTGTTGGATGTTTTATTTCCTCTCTGTTTATGGTGTGTTTGTTTGTCTCCAGGCCAGGATAGCGTTCCTGCAGGGGGAGAGGAAGGGCCAGGAGAACCTGAAGAACGATCTGGTCAGAAGAATAAAAATGTTAGAATATGCTTTAAAGCAGGAAAGGTAAGAAACATAACGGTATTTCTGGTTGCCATCCTTCTCCTTCACTGATTGTGAAAGACGTTCGGTGCAGCGTGTTAGGGTTATACTGCTGTTTGCAACCAAAACTTAACACTGTTAGACAACTGCAGACGGGGTCATTTCAGCGGTGGCTAGTGGAGTTTTTTCCAGGGGGCGCTATAACTTCTAAACATGCCAAAAAGAAATCAAATGTATTCTAAGGTGTCACACCTGTATATTTATGTGAATACCAACAACATAAAAAAAAAACATTATAAAATGTTCTCCAAAGTGCTTTAAATCAGTCCTAGCAGTAACCTGACTCCGCCAGATGGATTTGCTCCGCATAGCCATCTGGAAACCTTCCGTTGAAGTAATTTTGGGAAGGGGCGAAAATACTGGTTAGCTGATTGGCCTATGTTGGTGATAGACGGGCCAAATAAACCAATCAGATCAACGAAGCATATGACGTACTAACAGAGCGACAACAAAGAGGAGCCAATTGATAGATCAAACTCTTGCCGAAACCAGTCGGGAGAAAAGCAAAAACATCTTTTCCTCTGAGAAAAGCCTCCAGAGCAGTGTTTTGCTCTTCTTTCAGTGAAGAAATACTCTGTAATTCCGATGAAACTTGCTCGATAGCCACGCTAACGCTAGTTTCATCGGCTGAAGCCTCCATGTTCTTTAGACTGAACTGTCGCGATTCTCGTTGCGTCACACCTCAACCCGCCTCAAAGGAGCTACTGCGCTGGACGACTTTTAACCAGAGTTTATGGGCAAAGATTTATGCAAATACGTCACCAATCCGACGACGAACGAAAAAGCTTCACTCCTCATTAAAGATTAAATATTTATCTTGCACATCTAAAATTATATTATATTTCAAAATATTTGTATTTAATAATTTTATTTTTCATTGGGTGAGTGGGGTGGCGCCCTCTATTAGCCAGCCAGAACTGGACCATTTAGAATAATTAATTGATAAGAAAAAAAAAAAAAACCCTGAAATATTAGAACTGTAACTATACAGTCATATGTTTACATCACTTTTTTTCATCGCAATGTTTTTTATCACTGCTGCTTACCTCATTATTGCTGCACTTTAAAAAATGAAATACTCCAGAGAGCCATTCTTAACGAAAAATTTTTTTGTTTACACAATAAAATCTGTCTAATAATTAGCTGTAAAGGAGCTCCATGTGATTTAGTAATAATAATCGCTCCTCCCTCACCCATGGATCCATGGGGTCTGTTGCTCATCTTCCTTCTGGCAGATCTCTAATGCCTGAAATGGCGTAGGGCCTTTGGGAAAATCTTTGAGAAAAGTGTCTTTGCACAAGTGCAGCCTTATTTATACAAACATTTTAGATCCTTTTGAGTCTGCACTTAATGAGCACAGTTAAAGGTTTTTAATGACTTGTTTTTAATCTGGTGAAGATTCTCAGTCATCCCGGTCATAGTCATTCCAAAAAGGTTTAAAAAACTCAGAAAAACAAATAACTTTGTTTTCCAAGTTTGAAGACGTTTTGCATTTCAAAATGTCTGAATTAGCTTTGAGTTCCAAGCTTTATAGAGTAGCCCAACAAAGCCTTGTTTTGGCTTAGAAAACGTGCAAATTGAACCAAAAGAACAGGTCCACCCCTTAGTAATGGAGAGCCGTTGAGGTCTTTGTTAGCCTGCAATACCCAATACTGGTCTATGCTTCTGATTGACCAGCACAGATGTTTAGTCCCCTGCATGGCAGTGGGGGTTACGATGATAGCGGGGAGGAATCAACTCTATCGCTGCATTGTAGGTTTCAGAAAGCTGAAATCTGAGTCCACCTCAGCTGTTTAAGGTTGGGTTTTCTTTCTTAACATAGATGGATTCATTAAAGGAATAGTACACCCAAAACATGATTAGCCTTCATTTTCTACTCACCCCCATGCTGAACAACACTCTGGAGTACTTTTTTGATATCTCAAATGCATCTGGAGATCTGGGAGGCTTCTTGCTGTCTGCTGACATTCAAATAATGGAGGTCTATGGCGCCCGAGACAGAAAGGTCCATAAAAGTCCACAAAAAACGTGTCAATATTCCTCCATACTGCTCGTCCAATGTATTCCAAGTGTCCTGAGTGGGTAGCGTCCATAATTTACTCGAAACGAAGTCATTTAGAATGTTTTTAGAGCATAAACAGTAGTTTATAGGATTTCCACAGAATGTCCTTTGTCCATCAGGTGTAGATGTACTGCAGAGTCTAGTCCAGAGGAGGGCGCTCTTCTGTGTTGGGCCGTGCGTCTGTAGAGAGGTTGTTTGGTTTCTCCGATATAAAGATCAGAGCATTCCTCGCTGCATTGAACAGCATATACCACTGCTCAGATTTGGTCTGTGGGTTTGTTCTTTAGGATGCACTAGTCTCTGTTTAAGGGTCTGTTTGGTTTGAAATGTTTTGGGATTTAGTGTTTGGAGAAAATCCTTTTGACTCCAGCAACATATGGGATGGTGATGCTGGTGAAGATTCTCAGTCATCCAGGTCAGAGTCATTCCAAAAAAGTTATAAACAATCCACTGGACTTTTTTAATACAAAATGTCAGAAATAGTGTTGCGTTCCAGGCTTTAAACAGTAGACCAACAAAGCCTTGTTTTTGTTTAGAAAACATGCAAACTGAAACTGACGAATGGGTCCACCACTTTAGAATAGGGGGTGGTTTGGCTTCTTTTGTTAGACAGGTATGGGTCATTGCAGAACATGAACATAACATAACGCAGATTTTCCTCAGCAGTACCAATGGTGTTTGGATGTTTGTTTTTGGGTTTGATTGTTTTCATGGCTTTTTCCTCTCCTGTGTGGTAAAGTTCCCCTCGCAGCTGCACATATCTGCATTCCAGCTGTGACTCTCTGTTCCCTTCTACATTAGAAAACTCACCTTAAACGTATTAATTCCATTGGACATGAAAAGTTTGAGTCTCTCCCTGCGATTTGAAAATTGTTGTAATTGTGATTCCTATCACTAAAGTCTTCTAGTTCTATTTTTCTTTTGCCTGGTGGGATAATCCTGAAATCCTTCCAACTCTACAGCGTCCGTTTATGAAAATATGACAATCTGCCTGCATCAATATGGAGATGTTGTCTGAAGAAAGATCGATTAATTAAAGTTGTTTCTGTTTCTCCTCTTCAGAGCAAAATACCACAAATTAAAATATGGAACGGAGTTAAACCAAGGAGAAATGAAGATGCCGATCTTTGAATCAGGTAGGTGTTCCAGGAAGGAGCTCCAGCTGTGTGATGAGGCCGGATTAGCGCTCAGCTTGTCTCTCTTCTCTCCTCAAAGACACCAAAGACTCTGAGGTGTCTGCTGTCCCTGCTAACAGCCAGCTAATGTGGAAACAAGGACGGCAGCTGCTCAGACAGTAAGGCCCTCCTGCTTATAATTAAAGGAGCTGTTTCTGACCGCAGCAGATGTTTCTCCACCTCACTCTGAAGCCATATGTGTCGTTTTTAGGTACCTTCAGGAAGTCGGATACACGGACACCATCTTGGATGTCCGCACTCAGAGGGTCCGCTCTCTGCTTGGCCTGTCGGGCTCCGAGCAGAACGGGTCAGTGGAGAATAAGAACCTGCAGCACCTGATCAACGGAACGGAGCGCTGTAAAGACGCCAAGAGGTAAACACACAGACGGACGCAGCTGTGTCACCCTATCCTTATTAGGACTTTCCACTGCCATGCACAGATGTTCTTAGTTTGAAAAAATGACACCTTAAATGTCGCATGGAGTGGACAAGAGCCAGACACCATCTGATGCTGACATTTAATGATCTTCCACAGGTAGCAATGCTACATCGGTGTCTTGATTTGAGGGGGGATATATGACAGTTTGCAGGTGAACTAAGATTTATATTTAAAATATAAAAAGACCCCAAATCTATTATCTTATTTCAAATATATATGTTATAATCTTATTTTCAGGTTTAAAAACTCTCCTTCCACAGACAGATCATCTTATTTTCTTATAGTTATTTTAAGGAAATTTTACTTATTTTCAGATCATTTCTTTTTCAGTCCATGATTTCCTGTCAGTAAACAAAGAAATTAAAAATACAGCTTAATCTACACGCCCCACCTGAACTGAATATTAGAGCATTATCAAAGTTATTTTTTTACGATTTGTTATCATTTGGCCCTATGTTTGCTTTTAAATGAAATGTTAAACAGCCAAACTGTAACTTGTGTTTTCTAGTTGATGCGAGTCCAATAGATGTCATCAGGGATTCCCTGACAGGAACCGTTACAGCATCTGTGAGATGCTTTAAATCATTTCTTTTTTTCTAATTTAATTGCATTTTAAACAGTTTATTGGTGCCTGGTAGAGGCCATAAAAGACGTGATGATGTGAACTAACTGGTTGGTGAAGGAGGTTAGCTGGCCCTTTAAGAGGGCAACGCGCTATGGAGGCGGAGCTACAAGTCTAATGGAACAACATTACACTAATCTAGGCTCTTGGTTTGATAGGATTTTAAATTCATAAATTTTGGGCCAAAAAAAAAGAAGTGAACGATTTCGGGAGGGCTCTTTTTTCCGTCCATAGGGGCTCTAGCACCACCTGGTGTCTATCTGGGACTCTCCAATATACATACCTTCATCTCTATAGCGTAACCATTAGGGATGGGGATCGAAACCCGGTTCTATCAAGGACCCGGTTCCACTTTTTTCAAAACCCGAAAATCAATAACATTTGGGCTTATTGATACCACTATCGAGTCTGGTCATTTTTTTTTTTTCTCCCGGAGGACCTGTAACATAATTGTGTGTCCCTCAGTTCGCGTCACAGCATTTAAATCTAATCAATCCAATCACTGCAGCATGTCCACCAATGTTTTGGAATGAAATTGTAAGCAAACAGATATTAAAAGTAAAACAAGTGAAGTCTGGCACTTATCTTTGCTCGCGACTCGAGGATGGCTGAACGGAAAAGACTCCTCCTCCTCCTGCTGCTGCCGCACCACAGTGGGGCCCGTCTTCATCATCCACTCAGAGTACCACTGGTAAGCGCACACAGACTTTGTAGCTTGTCCGGTCAGTTAAAAATAGTAATTGTTAAATCCGTGTTGTAATCGGCAGCATACAAGCTAGTTAGCTTGAAAAGTAAATAAAGTTTCAGACGTGCTGCGTGATGATGTGTTCAGATTGGCTCAGTAAAACGACAATTAGGTTATCATGATGCGTTCAAGTGTAACGTAAAGAAAACGGGAAATTTAGTTTTTGGCGAGAAACACGAGTAATACAGTTGTATATTGCTCTAATTATTTTAGAACATATAATTAAACTACTGATGCCAACATTTATTAAAAATTACATTTAATTTAAAATACAATTATTTATTTGCTAAATATTTTCCTAATCATTAAAAACATGATGAAAAGTGACAGTAGACAATACATTAACCAACAATTGTGAAAATATATTCTAGTTAGTTTTATGTCATTTCGAAGTGGCCTATTACATTAGCCATGTTTATTGAAGGCTGGAAACGTTTTTGTTATGCTCACTTGTTAAGCAATAGAAGCAATACCAGTTCTGTTAAAAACATATTGTCGCATCATCTTTCCACCAACTAACAGAAAAGTATCGATAGTGGTATTGATAAAGATTCGGATCGATAAGGAGTATCGATAAAGGTATCGATATCAATAAATATTAACGATCCCCATCCCTAGTAACCATAACCTAACGCTAAACCAAACCCAATTCAAATCACACCTTAGACCTAAACATCACCTCCACCGCCAGAAGAGAGAGAACAAAAACATGGCCTCCATCCGGGGGTCGGTTACGGAGCTGAGTGGTTCACCTGTCTCCTCTCTGCAGGATCCCGAATGACAACCTGGAGACATTCAACTTCCTGGAAAACGCAGATGACAGCGACGAGGAGGAGGATGAGGAAGGAGATCTGATGGATGACATCAGCTCAGACAAACACAGAACTAAAAAACACAAGACTAATGTAAGGCAACTAACACTGCTCCCCCCCCTTTAAATCAAACCAGTTCTCCACCTTCTTCTTCTTCTTCTCTCCCTTTAATCACGTAGATGGGAAACGAGGGACTGGCATCAGAGGATGATGCGGACACAGAGGAGGCCCTCAAGGAGTTTGACTTCCTGGTAACTGCAGAGGATGGAGAGGGAGCAGGGGAGGCTCGCAGCTCTGGAGACGGGACGGAGTGGGGTGAGTCGGCCTCCAGCCGGATTCTATCGCAGACTTCAGATCCTGGTGACTAACGTTTCATAGCTTCATGTGTCGTGAGTGAAACCCGACCTTTGTCCTGACGGTGGGCTCCGTAGAGCCGCCTTTAAAGCAAATAAAGGACCATTTAGCAAAACTTTTATTCCCGATCCGTTTCTCTGCTCTAACGCATCAATTATCCAGCATAGAGGAACTGTTACCTAGCAACCAAGAAATCACATTCGGATCGCAGTTTTATTATATTTCCCTTATCTGTTGGTTCCCAACAAAGTTCTTTTCCAGGTTAGCTGTAGTGGGCTGTGGCTTTCCTCAGGCGTTCGCTCATTCAAACAGCAAACAGGGTTTTTCTTCATTTGTTGTCTGGATCTAGATTTAGTTTAATGGCTGAATGATGCAGGTATTATGGAACCAAACATTTTCTCTGTTTTCCCCATTAATGAGTGTTTTTCTCTTTGCAGCGGAACCTCTGCCCTTCCCCTCCGGTGGGGGGAAGTCCTTCTTATTGGGCGGGCCGGACGATGTTCTGGAAAGTGTTTTGGGTCTGGGTGACCTGGCCGACCTCACCGTCACCAACGATGAGACAGACTTTGGCTACGATGTAAGGCGTCTTCCTGTTTCTGTACCGGAAGGGAAGCTTAAAAACTGAAGCTGTCCTCATGTGTCCCCGCTAGCTGTCCTCCGCTAAAGAGTCCGCGTTCAGGAAAACCTGGAACCCCAAGTACACGCTGCGGAGCCACTTGGACGGCGTCCGAGCGCTGGCGTTCCACCCGGTGGAGCCGTGCCTGGTCACCGTGTCTGAGGACCACACCCTCAAGCTGTGGAACCTCACAAAGACCGTCCCGGCCAAAAAGTATGCTGACTCAGCACTTCGCTGAAAACTAAACTTCCTGTTTTTCTGTGATTCCCTGCAGACTCACATTGATTGTTTGCTCACAGTGATCTGATGACTTCACTTATCTACATGTCTCTACTTCCTCTCAACTTTCCATTGTTCTTCTTTGATACGTCCCGTTGATGTTTTTCCTTATGGGTTGTTTGTGACGCCCACTTTGGCTTCATTAGCAAGGAGTATTAATCATCATATATCAGTGAGTTTCTAAACTAAAGTCATTTACAGGAAAGCGGCAAACATTCCAGTGGTTTATTTAAACCTCCATATGCGACATTCACACCAGCAGAAGCAGCTGCTTTAAATGTAAAGTCTATTGTTGACGCGCATCAAAAGGTCCTGCAGCGCATCCAGAGCAGCAGGAGTGGCGCCTCATGAGCTTCTGAGGCACGCAACATGTTTCAGAAGGAAAGTTGGAAAAGTTTAACTTTAGCTGCTGGATCCGTCACATCAACCAATCAGAGAAGCTGATCTGGGAGCTGGCAGGGAGTCAGACACAGCACTGCTGATGCAGAGCGCTATGATCACTCCTCTGAAACAGATTATTAACGCCTAAATTATATGGGAGGAACGGTTCACAAAATCCACGGTTCAGTTCACGGTTTCGTGGTCACGGTTTTCGGTTCGGTATATGTTGATTGTTACACTGAAATCCCATAAAAATTAATGAAAAAATCCTAAAAAATGAATGAATTGTAATTATTTTTAATGATCCGCGGAAACCCTGGATCATTTCCGCATGTTTTGCTGCTTTGAATTTAATCATCTCGTGCATGCTCTCTACCATCTCCAAGGAACTCAGAGCGGAGCGGACGGGAGCCACAGTGGAGGCTGTAGGCTTTGCTTTGCGCATGCGGTCTGGAGCGCAGCGGGGCGGAGCGCTGACGGAGTATGTGGGATTTCGGGGTCAGCATGACATGTTGGTCATGTTGCTGTTAGCATAAACAAAACGTGTTGCACAATGCTTGCACACTGTTGCACTTTTATCCACAACTTTCTTTCCGCCGTCATCGTAGGTCACTCTAAATGCAAAGTGGTCCCATACAGCAAACCTATAAAGTGCTGCTGGCGCGTCTTCCAACTCCTGTTCTTTCCCACTTGCCATACCCACACAATTCTCCACAACAACTGATTTTTTTCTGCTACACCCGGCTACGCTGCTTCGCTTCTTCTTCTTCTTCTTGTTTACTACTGGTGGTTGGCTTTGGTCGCAGTACCGCCACCTTCTGCTCTGGAGTGTAAACGCTTCACCTATGAGAAAAAGGAGCAGCGCATGAACCCAACGCAACACAAGTGAATCGAACCGAGACAGTCGAACCGAACGGTTCGGACGGTTTTCATAAACCGTTCCATCCCTACTAAATTACCTTAAAATGCAGAAACCTGCCGGCAGAGTATGTTTGCATGTTCAGCAGAAGCATCAGACGCATCTGGACTCATTTTACTGGACGGCTGACCTTAATTTGGAACAGCATCAGAAATGAAGCTGCAGAAGCTGAAATTACGTTTTGCGTGAACGTAGCATAAAAGCTAAACAGGTTTTCATCAATGAAACTTTAAATGACCTTCATCTCACTCATAATTACAGGTGCTGGTCATAAAATTAGAATATCATGAAAAAGTAGATTGATTTCAGTAATTCCATTTAAAAAGTGAAACTTGTATATTATATTCATACATTACATTCAAACTCATATATTTCAGATGTTTATTTTGTTTAATTTTGATGATTACAAATGACAACAAATGAAAATCTCAAATTCATCATATCAGAAAATTAGAATATTGTGAAAAGGTTCAAAATTGATGGCCCCTGGTGCCACACTCTAATCAGCTAATTAACTCAAACCACCTGCAAAAGCCTTTAAATGGTCTTTCAGTCTAGTTCTATAGGCTACACAATCATGGGGAAGACTGCTGACTTGACAGTTGTCCAAAAGACGACCATCGACACCTTGCACAAGGAGGGCAAGACACAAAAGGTCATCGCTAAAGAGGCTGGCTGTTCACAGAGCTCAGTGTCCAAGCACATTAATAGAGAGGCGAAGGGAAGGAAAAGATGTGGTCGAAAAAAGTGTACAAGCAAGAGAGATAACCGCACCCTGGAGAGGATTGTGAAACAAAACCCCTTCAAAAATGTGGGGGAGATTCACAAAGAGTGGACTGCAGCTGGAGTGAGTGCTTCAAGAACCACCACACACAGACGTATGAAAGACATGGGTTTCTGCTGTCGCATTCCTTGTGTCAAGCCACTCTTGAACCACAGACAGCGTCAGAAGCGTCTAAAGAGAAACAGGACTGGACTGCTGGTGAGTGGTCCAAAGTCATGTTCTCTGATGAAAGTAAATTTTGCATTTCCTTTGGAAATCAAGGTCCCAGAGTCTGGAGGAAAAGAAGAGAGGCACTTCATCCACGTTGCTTGAAGTCCAGTGTAAAGTTTCCACAGTCAGTGATGGTTTGGGGTGCCATGTCATCTGCTGGTGTTGGTCCATTGTGTTTTCTGAGGTCCAGGGTCAACGCAGCCACATACCAGGAAGTTTTAGAGCACTTCATGCTTCCTGCAGCTGACCAACTTTTTGGAGATGCAGATTTCATTTTCCAACAGGACTTGGCACCTGCACACAGTGCCAAAGCTACCAGTACCTGGTTGAAGGACCATGGTATCCCTGTTCTTAATTGGCCAGCAAACTCTCCTGACCTTAACCCCATAGAAAATCTATGGGGTATTTTGAAGAAGAAGATGCAATACACCAGACCCAACAATTCAGAAGAGCTAAAAGCCACTATTAGAGCAACCTGGGCTATCATAACCATTGAGCAGTGCCACAGACTGATCGACTCCATGCCACGCCGCATTGCTGCAGTAATACAGGCCAAAGGAGGCCCAACTAAATACTGAGTGCTGTACATGCTCATACTTTTCATGTTCATACTTTTCAGTTGGCCAACATTTCTATAAATCCTTTGTTTTTATTGGTCTTCAGTAATATTCTAATTTTCTGATATGATGAATTTGAGATTTTCATTTGTTGTCATTTGTAATCATCAAAATTAAACAAAATAAACATCTGAAATATATGAGTTTGTATGTAATGTATGAATATAATATACAAGTTTCACTTTTTAAATGGAATTACTGAAATCAATCTACTTTTTCATGATATTCTAATTTTATGACCAGCACCTGTATGTTCCTGTTATCTTTCTTGGTCTCAACTATCAGAAGCTTTACGTATAAAAAGTGACTCCTCTGTAACCTGTTGGTCATAAAAACGAGTCTTGTCCATGGATAACTCTCAGTTCTCCTTCTCTACAGTCTCTGAGGGAAGCAGAAGATAAAATTAACTTTCTATTTTGTTTTACTGGAGTTTGGTCCACCAGCACGATGAGTCATAAATGTTTCAGAGGAAATTAAAATGAAACTTGGAACGAAAACAGTCTTTGACTGGTGGCTTTGTGCGATGGTGAATCTTCTGCTGTTAGAAAGTTCCTCATTCGTAGGAAAACGCATCATCTCCTCTGCTGCTGAAGAAAACTGATTGGTGGAGGAAGTGTGATGGTTTGTGGCTGACTCTCCCTCACTGAAAAAACCAGGCTTGATTTCATTGGAGACCGTTGGAGATCAGCTTAGATTTGCTTTTCCTACCAAATCGTCTCCTTTGGTTGATCTGCGTTAAATGAAAGTTTTCTGTGTAAAGAAAACCAGCTGACAGAATCTGCAGGATTCGCTCCTCCTGGTAGAGCAGGTAGAGACGGTAGATATTGACTAATCCCTCAAATTGAGCATGCCCATGGCGACAGTGGAGAGGAAAACTCCCTTTGAACCAAAGAAACTTCCAGCAGAAACAGAACCAGGCTTGCTGTGAGGGGCCATCGCTACTGTGCCACCAAAACTGTTTACTGTTTGGGTCTAGTTTAAACATTACTTATTAAAACAATGAGAGACTAGAACAGTTATGATGAGCTAAATCTGTGTTTTTTCTGTTCCAGAAGTGCCTCCTTTGATGTGGAACCCATCTATACGTTTAGGGGTCACATGTAAGTATCTCTGCTTCTTCTGTTGTTTGGTCGAGGCAACGGCGAAACAAATTACTTTTTCAAACCTCACCATGAGTCGTTCAGAAAGCTAATAATCCCACAGCATGGTGCAGCCACCGCCATGTTTTATTGTTGTTTGTCACCAGAGTTTATTTGTAACAAATTTTAATCCTGTTTTGAAATGTTAGTTCTCTTCTTCCACTCTGGGAACATGAAACATGCTTTCAAAATGAAGCTGAACCACATTTTTAGGACTTGGAAATGGGATTAAAAAGCAACAGCTGCTGTCGTTTTGTTGGATAGCTGCTAAAAGGGCAACTTTGTCTTAACTTTGAGCAAAAATAATCAGGTTCTGCCTCACATCACTGATCAGAGAAAGTGGTCGTGTTGATTATAAACATTTTAGAAATGATTAACAAGTAGAACGAATTATTCTGAGGTTGATTGATCTTATCGATCAATTAACAAACAACAAAAGCTTGGCTCATTTAAAATCTGAGTTTTCTCTTGGATCAGCAGGAACTTCCCATAAAGATAGATACATAAAGATTTTTTTTACAATATGCCGAGTTTTAAAAATAGTAAATAATTATGCTGATGAAGATTCTCAGTCATCCAGGTCATAGTCATTCTGTAAAAGTTTAAAAAAACAATCCACTGGACTTGGTTTCCAAGGTTTGAAGACGTTTCACTTCCCCTCCAGGAAGCTTTCTCGATTCAAATGTCCTGATGACATTTGAATTGAATTGAATTGAAAAAAGAGTCCAGTGGATTATTTTTTAAACTTTTACGGAAAAACTAAATACTTATATTTAAAGTTTTTGGACCCAGATGCAATAAACACTAACTGAAAAAAAGAAACCATGTTTTCTTAAACACCTCTAAATCTATGAGATCAATCAAAACAGGAACCTTTACTGAATATAGAAAGTATAAATAAAATCTGTGAACAGAGATGTAGATCTATCATTAATAGACAGGGTATGTCGCTCTGACTGTCGGACTGATTACCGTTGTTTCATTGAGGCGGATGCTAACTGAGCTACCTCTGTTTTTAGTCTAATCCACCAATCAGAGCTGAGAGACTATAAACAGGCTTTTCTGCTTGGAATGTTAGAACTTGAAGGTCACTGAATGTCATGACATCATAAAGCTTTTCTATCTGCCATGCTAACAGCTAGCATGTTCCCATCGTTTAGCATAATGTCCTCCACTTTGCTCTCATCCTCTCCTGATCAGAGAAGTTCTGCTGCTCCTAAATGGGCCCATTGAGGAGAACTGAAGGGGTTTATCTGAGTTTAGATTCACTAAAAGAACCACAGGAAGTTCATCCTGGATCCTTGGATCCATTAAACGGTGGAAATAATCCAGACCAGACTCTGGATCCAGGGATCCGCTCTGGGATTCCTGCTATTGCAGATGCCAGTGAGGCTCAGATAAGGAATAGCCCTCTAGTGGACGATGGTAATATTACAACGATGAAAGAAATTCCTCATGTCATCTAATCAACCATGAAGCCAATAATCATGAGTCCATTATTTGCTGATGAAGATTCTCAGTCATCCAGGTCATAGTCATTCCGTAAAAAAAAAAAAAAAATATCCACTGGACTTGGTTTCCAAGATGTGAAGACGTTTCGCCACCTCTCCAGGAAGCTTTTGAATTGAGAAAACTTCCTGGAGAGGTGGCAAAACATCTTCACATCTTGGAAACCAAGTCCAGTGGATATTTTTTTGAATTTTTACGGAAGGAGTCCATTATTTGTTTGCATTACTGATTATAACAGAGTGGAAAAAAGTTTTACGTTTTTTTGTAAATCAAAGATTTGAATCAGTGCTTTACTCTAGTTTCTCCATTTATATCTTGTCCATCTTTTCTTTTTAGTTGTTATTCAGAGTTTAGAACTTTTATCAGAATGATATAAGAAATAATAAAATCGTAAATGTAGCCCTAAAAGTCCAGCCTCGGCTGCTGATAGAAGTTTTTAAAGAGTTCATATTCTAGAGTGATCCAATAATCCCATGTCCTTGTTCCAGCGGCCCGGTTCTGTCCCTGGCGATGACCTCCAGCGGGGAGCAGTGCTTCAGTGGAGGCCTCGACTCCACCATCCAGTGGTGGAACATCCCCAGCTCCAACGTCGACCCCTATGACACCTACGGTACCCTTCTTACCCACCTGGGGGGGGGGGATCAGCAGTACCGTTGATCCTGCTAAGAGAGCGATGGTCTTGTTCAGTCATTATGGTTTCAGTCATTACATATTGATGATCATCTAAGTACTTCCTCAGTTTTTAAATAAGAGACGCAACCTCAGATGAAAACATCAGTACCAGGGGGGTCCAGTCTCCTGCAGACATATTTATCCATCCTGTTAGTTCTGCTGCTTTTAACAAACAGATTGGATTAAAAGGAGAGAACGGAAGCATTGGAACATCTGGAAAACAATCAAACCTCTGGCTGCTGTAGGGAAACGGGACGGTCCAGTTCTATAGATCTAAAATGCACCAAGAAATGAAGAAGGTACCAATTGGACCGAGGCTTGTTCTCAGACCAGAGGTGTCCAAAATATTAAAGTTTATTACTCCAGCTGTTTAAAAACACCTTTATAGAACTTAGAGGATCAACTTCGGCTTTTTACTCCATTAAAAGTGTAGAAGTACCATTTTTAAAACAACTTAAAGTATAAAAGTAAAAGAAATGCAGGAAAAAACATTAAGGCCAGAAGCTTTACTGCTCTACCCTATTAAAGGAAGATTTTTCTACAATTCTGGATGATAACTTCCTTAGAGCTAATTTTCTTAGTTTTATATTTAATTTTGTCAAATTTAACTTTGCATCATTTTGGAAAACTTTTTACTTTGGTACGTGGTGAGCAACAAGTTGGGGCAGCACCAAATCCAACCACAAAGAAATTAATTGTCTGGATGAAACTAATTATTTTGATGGTTTTTAGTTTTTTTTTTTTTTATATACCAACAGGGAATAATGAAAATGAGCTTAAATGAAACTAAACTAATGAGTCAATTTTAAAATGTAAGTAAAAGTTGTATAGAAAATAATTACTCCAGTATAATATAGATATCCAACATTTCTATTTCAGTAAAGTAATGAAGTATTTGGACTTTACTTGACACCTCTGGTTCTCAGGGCCGTAGGAAACTGGATCATCATTGGTTGAAAAGAGAGACTGATGTTCTGTCAGAACGGCATACACTGTCAGAATGGCTCACTTGTGCTTTTATTGTGAAATGCCGACAGACAGCGAGACCTTGACAGGAAATGACATAGGGTTGCCAGGGGTAACCCTATCTAACCCTAACCCTGGAGGAAACTGGATCATCATTGGTTGAAAAAAGAGAGACTGATGTTCTGTCAGAACAGCATACGCTGTCAGATCGGCATACGCCGTCAGATCGGCATACGCCGTCAGAACGGCATACGCCGTCAGAGCGGCATACGCCGTCAGAACGGCATACGCCGTCAGATCGGCATACGCCGTCAGATCGGCATGCGCCGTCAGAACGGCATGCGCCGTCAGATCGGCATGCGCCGTCAGAACGGCATACGCCGTCAGAGCGGCATACGCCGTCAGATTGGCATGCGCCGTCAGAGCGGCATGCGGCGTCAGATCGGCATACGGCGTCAGATCGGCATACGCCGTCAGAGCGGCATACGCCGTCAGATCGGCATGCGGCGTCAGATCGGCATGCGGCGTCAGATCGGCATGCGGCGTCAGATCGGCATGCGCCGTCAGATCGGCATGCAGCGTCAGATCGGCATGCGGCGTCAGAGCGGCATGCGCCGTCAGATCGGCATGCGCCGTCAGATCGGCATGCGCCGTCAGATCGGCATGCAGCGTCAGATCGGCATGCGCCGTCAGATCGGCATGCGCCGTCAGAGCGGCATGCGCCGTCAGATCGGCATGCGCCGTCAGATCGGCATGCGCCGTCAGAGCGGCATGCGCCGTCAGATCGGCATGCGCCGTCAGAGCGGCATGCGCCGTCAGATCGGCATGCGCCGTCAGAGCGGCATGCGGCGTCAGATCGGCATGCGCCGTCAGAGCGGCATGCGCCGTCAGAGCGGCATGCGCCGTCAGATCGGCATGCGCCGTCAGATCGGCATGCGCCGTCAGATCGGCATGCGCCGTCAGAGCGGCATGCGCCGTCAGATCGGCATGCGCCGTCAGAGCGGCATGCGCCGTCAGATCGGCATGCGCCGTCAGAGCGGCATGCGCCGTCAGAGCGGCATGCGCCGTCAGATCGGCATGCGCCGTCAGATCGGCATGCGCCGTCAGATCGGCATGCGCCGTCAGATCGGCATGCGCCGTCAGAGCGGCATGCGCCGTCAGAGCGGCATGCGCCGTCAGATCGGCATGCGCCGTCAGATCGGCATGCGCCGTCAGAGCGGCATGCGCCGTCAGATCGGCATGCGCCTTCAGAGCGGCATGCGGCGTCAGATCGGCATGCGCCGTCAGAGCGGCATGCGCCGTCAGAGCGGCATGCGCCGTCAGATCGGCATGCGCCGTCAGATCGGCATGCGCCGTCAGAGCGGCATGCGCCGTCAGATCGGCATGCGCCGTCAGAGCGGCATGCGCCGTCAGATCGGCATGCGCCGTCAGAGCGGCATGCGCCGTCAGAGCGGCATGCGCCGTCAGATCGGCATGCGCCGTCAGATCGGCATGCGCCGTCAGAGCGGCATGCAGCGTCAGATCGGCATGCGCCGTCAGATCGGCATGCAGCGTCAGATCGGCATTAGTTTTTATCTAACCTAAATGAATTCTGTCAGGATGTAAAGCACAGCCAGTGTTTTCTATGATTTTAAATATGAAAACAAAATGGAACCAAATTTAAATTCCCGCACACGTTTTTTTTACTACCAAAGTAACTTATTTTATGTTAATATTGACTAATATGGTTTTAGCTATAGAGGCTTCATGTCTGGCCAGTATAATCAAAGCTAATTTTCTATTTTAAAAGTTAAAATAAAGGGTTTTTTGGCTGGTTGGTGCACTGCTGCTAAAATCCATTTCTGGGATACTTCTCTGTTGCACATGCGTACCAGAGCAGCGTATGCCGTTCTGACAGAACACCAGCTGTGCAGGGTTTCTGGTCGGCTGGTTCTTCCCAGTAGAACCGAAGGCTAACTGTTCCGGTGTCGACAGATTCCAGCGTCCTGGCGGGGTCGTTGTTGGGCCATACGGACGCCGTGTGGGGGCTGGCTTACAGCGGCATCAAGAACCGGCTCCTGTCCTGCTCCGCGGACGGAACGGTGAAACTCTGGAACCCAGCAGAGAAAGAACCCTGCATCAGCACTTTCAACGCCAGCAACGGTGAGCGTGCAGAGAACAGAACCCTGCCGCCACCGTTCGAGGCGGTTTCTCTGAGCACAGCTGATTCTGACCCTCTCCTTAGAGCACGGGATGCCCACTTCTGTGGACTTTAACGGTTGTGACCCCGCCCACATGGTGGCGTCCTTTAACAGCGGAGACGTGGCAATATACGACCTGGAGACGTCCCAGACTGCACTGGTGCTGAAGGCTCAGGGAGACGGCGGTAAGGCCTTCGCTCACGCCTGATTTTCCCCTCAGAGTGTTTGTTGACGTTGACCTCTATCTCCTCCCTTCATCAGCTTCTCCGTCTTTGAATCATATCAATAAAGCGGTGAGTCACCCCACGCTGCCGGTCACCATCACCGCCCACGAGGACCGTCACATCAAGTTCTTTGATAACAAATCAGGTCAGTGTGCTGCTGCGTGGCCAGCTTTACCCAGCGGGATGTCGCTTCTAATAACAGGATGTTTAATCTGTGGCTCTGCAGCAGAAACCTCAAAAAGCTCTGAGATCCTCGGCTGCTTTAACCCTTGAAGCCCGGCGGGCCTGGTACCGGGCCCAGCTGACACCAGCTGATGTTTATCTATTTATAGAAATGGCCAAAACACAGTCACATGGTGTTTCATCCACACGCCTTTCAAATGGGGCTTTATAATTTTTAAAACATGTTTCAAAATTATTTTTTCACAAATACTTTCTGTTTTATGGCTGTGTAAACAAATAAAATGAGATTTAAAATTCCACCTGAGATGTGACTCTGCTGGAGTAATGCAACAGCAGGTATTCATTTTTAGCCCTGCCCCCTAATGGCCCCCATCATTGGAAACTAGAGGCTCAGACCTTTCCAAGAAGGGGTCAGAGGTCATTGTGCGACCATTTCAGGTAATGGATGGGATGCGTTACATAGGCTTTCTCTGTTATTCTATTTTCTATTCAGTTTGGTGATATTGGTCAATTTCAATTAAACAGCTAAATCTGAGGAGCAAAGGCCTTATGCAGAAGGTCTCCAATAATGTAAATCAGTGTATTTGTCTGACCAGATTCCCTTTTATTAGTGGGAAAAAATGCATTTTGGTGAAAATCCCATTTCCTCCTAGCACCCTGCCCACTAAAACCTTTGTGGAACAAACATGCTTCAACTTATTCAGTTCTAATTAGCTTGAGTTATAGTCAAGATGTGGATCTATAAAGTCGGAGGATTCATCCAGATTTTCAAATGGGCTTTCATGGTGTTTTGCAGTGTTTATTTTGGAAAAAAACTTAAATATCTTTCATTCTTTCTTTGTTTAATCACCTATAAATCAGACATGGTGACATTTAAAATAGTGGTTCCACCTGAAAACATTTCCTCAATGCTTTTCTGTCATTCAAATACAAACATTTCTATTTCTAATTTATAGTTTGGGAGCTGAACTTGATTTTAATTCATAGATGTCATTTCAGGTAAAATTTGCTCCTAAGAGCCTCAGGGCTTAATGGGTTAAATCCAGATTAAAAACGTATTTATCTAAAGTGGCCTTTGGCTGAAATGTCTCCTTCTGAACATTATTAATTTACCTAATGTATCCTTATTTATTATTTACAATTGTTGTATTTTATTCTTTTAAATAATTCAAATTGATTATTTAATGACTTCTATGCGTCTCTAATGTTTTATTCTTTTCCTGGTCAGCGTTTCAAATTGTCTTGCTACTGAGATGTTCTTTATAAATAAAGCAGCCTTTCCCAGAAATGATAGTGAACCTCGTGAAGCGGGAACCGAATCGGTCCTCAGGTGACGCGTCTCTCCTCTCTGCAGGTAAACTGATCCACGCCATGGTGGCTCACCTGGATGCAGTGACCAGTCTGGCCGTCGATCCAAACGGCATCTACCTGATTTCTAGCAGTAAGTCTCCTGACGCTCAGAGGGATGCTGGCTGCGTCATTTTCCTGGTTTTCTGACGTAACCTGACGGAAAATGATCCACACAGATCTATATCAGCTAGATGCCCATCAATGACCAAACAATCTTCATCATTTGTTTTCATCAGCTGTAGCTCCATCTCAGTGGGGACGATGTGTTAAAGGTCTTCCTCCTTTCCTCTGCTAGAGTTGAAGGCTCACAGACGCCTTATATTCCTTTGCTAGCTTAGCACATTACTTCCTGTTTACCCCTGCGGACATGTGCAGTCTGTACCTGCATTGTTATGATTACTTTAATGGTGCATTTAGAACGGGCGCGGTGGATTCAAACCACATGGTTAGAGCGTTCACTCCTCCGTTCTCAAACTGATCTATGAAATCGCCACATGGCAGCCAGTCAAGGTGGGTGGTTGGAGGAGAAGCTTTTTCACCTAAAAAGGAATACAGAGAAAATAAAGTTAAAAAAGGTAGAAATAAGGAATGCTCTGAGGTCTTTAGGTAGATAAAAAAAAAAGCTGTTTTCATTTAATCCTAGAAGGACTGCTCATCCTCCCTCACCTCCAGCCGCATCCTGGTCTGTCATTGCCCACTGCCCAGCATAGGGGCTCTCTGAGGGGGGAGATTTACAAGGACGTCCCACCGAATCAGAGCTGCGTCTGGATGAACCAAAGTGAATATTTTTTCCAGAAAAGGATGGTCTTCATCCAGACCATTCAAAAGATGTTCATAGAGAACAATTTACAGGGTTTATACAGGAATGAGCAACTCTAATTTAATGCTATTTTAATGCCCTCAACAAGTACCCCATGAATCTATATATATATATATATAGATTTATATATATTCGGTTCGCGTGTGTTGCGTTCGGTTCATGCACTGCTCCTTTTTCTCATAGGTGAAGCGTTTACACTCCAGAGCAGAAGGTGGCGGTAGTGCGACCAAAGCCAACCACCAGTAGTAAACAAGAAGAAGAAGAAGAAGCGAAGCAGCGTAGCCGGGTGTAGCAGAAAAAAATCCGTTGTTGTGGAGAATTGTGTGGGTATGGCGAGTGGGAAAGAACAGGAGTTGGAAGACGCGCCAGCAGCACTTTATAGGTCTGCTGTATGGGACCACTTTGCATTTAGAGTGACCTATGATGACGGCGGAAAGAAAGTTGTGGATAAAAGTGCAACAGTGTGCAAGCATTGTGCAACACGTTTTGTTTATGCTAACAGCAACACGACCAACATGTCATGCTAACCTCGAAATCCCACATACTCCATCAGCGCTCCGCCCCGCTGCGCTCCAGACCGCCTGCACAAAGCAAAGCCTACAGCTTCCACTGTGGCTCCCGTCCGCTCCGCTCTGAGTTCCTTGGAGATCGTAGAGGGCATGTGCCAGATGATTAAATTCAAAGCAGGAAAACATGCAGAAATGATACAGGGTTTCCGCGGATCATTAAAAATAATTACAATTCATTAATTTTTATGGATTTTTTTCATTAATTTTATTAATTTTAATTTTTTCATTTATTCATTTCAATTTTTATAAATTTTTTTCGGTGTAACAATAAACATATACCGAACCGAAAACCGTGACCTCGAAACCGTGAACCGAACCGTGGATTTTGGGAACCGTTCCACCGCTAATATTTGAATGGCCAAAACACAGTCACATGGTGAATTCCTTGTTTTAAAGCCACTTTTGTTGAAATGAGCATTTCCCCGTTTTCTAGCTTTTTCTCTGACTCTTCTTTTCCAAACACACGGCTATATCAGATCAACAGGAAGCATTTCCATGCAAATATATCACGATGTTATATATCTGACAAAATAGTTTTTATAATTGTATTTTCTTCTTTAAAATAAAGCATATTCAATGCCACAATAATCACATTTATAAATGCCAATTAAGGCCTTAATTGAAAAAAATTGAATGAAACCCTGATTTAGCAGCCGTCTGTGACGATAAGGCTCACCTGAGCGAGACCTTGACAGGAAATGACATAGGGTTGCCAGGGGTAACGGGAGGTCCAAAACAGAGTATCTGGGAGGCTGGTGATTAACTAAATATTAAACAATCGTTCCAGCCACTAAACGAGGTCAACATGCCAACTGTTTTATTTAGGACGACATGTGATGCAATAATTTTCTATCAGGAAATGAGCGCAGCGCTAATGTCTGCTGGGATGGTTACGTCATCGGCGGTAATCTTAAAAAACACCTGAGTGAAGTTGCCCCCCAACCTTCTTCAAATCAGACAAAATTAGTGTCAAATGTTTGTGCAGCAAAAATTTTCGTTTCTGCCGCTATAATTTTTAAGGATATAAAGAAATGTTTCTAGAAGTCATCAAAGGTCAACCAGCCCCCCACCTTCTTCAAATCAGACGAAATGGGTGTCATTTAACTTAGCTCCGTTTGTGCAGCAAAAATTTTCGTTTGTACTGCTATCATTTTAATGATATTAATAATTGTTTGTAGAAGCCATCAAAGGTCAGTGAACATTTGTTCATTCTGAAACTCTGAATTTCATATAAATTATAAGTTGCTAACCTATGATTATAACATTTTAAACTGTATAAAAATGATAGCGGCACAAACAAAAATTTTTGCTGCACAAACGTTTGACACCAATTTTGTCTAATTTGAAGAAGGTGGGGGGGCTGGTTGACCTTTTGACCTTTACATTTTCATTAATGTCTTCAAAGCCAAGGCAGCACAAACCACATTTTTTGCTGCACAAACGGAGCTGAGTTAATTAACACCCATTTCGTCTGATTTGAAGAAGGTGGGGGGGCTGGTTGACCTTTGATGACCTCTAGAAACATCTCTTTATATCTTTAAAATGATTGCTGCACAAACGTAGCACAAACGTTTGACACTAATTTTGTCTGATTTGAAGAAGGTGGGGGGGCCAACTTCACTCAGGTTCAAAAAACAAATCAGACAAACGATAGTTTTACCTGTAAAAATTAATCAGCAATGTAAAATTAGGCTGGATAATTTAGATTCAATTTGGAGCTAAAAAAAAAATCATTAATATGAAACAACAGCAGCACATGGGATCTTTTTTATTTATTTAAAGTATTTATTTCGTCTTTAAAAAAGACCATTTAAAACGCTCAAACCTGCTCTAAAGAAGCTCTAACCATTCAGTCGGTCAGCTTCACGCAGCTGAAGCTCCTCCTACTTAATGATGCGTTCCAGGGTGTGAACATGGTGTCTGTAATGCAGAGCGGTGAGCTACATGCAGGAGGAAATCCCGCCTTCACCGCGTGCTGTGTGAACGCACCATAACAGAACGGCTTCATTTACCAACAAACTGAGCAAAATCAAAGCAGAAAACAAAAGAAAGAGAAAATGCTGTCATTTTTCAGAACCGTTTAGTTTTCAACAGAGAGAGCTGCAGGTGGATAAATGTGAAAAGTTATTTAATGCAACTTTCACAGCTTTCTGGCTCCATTTATACAGAAGGTTTCCAGAAAGCATTTTGTTTCCTTCTGCTTCGACTCGTTTAGTAGGAAGTTAGCAGACGGGAGCAGGAGCCCCTGCAGGTAAAGCCAGGAACCGATTCCATCAGAACACCAACATTCCTCCTCTTCCTCTCCTCAGGTCACGACTGCTCTCTCCGTCTGTGGAACCTGGACAGCAAAACGTGTGTGCAGGAGATCACCGCTCACCGCAAGAAGAGCGAGGAGGCCATCTACGACGTGACCTTCCATCCGTCCAAAGCCTACATCGCCTCCGCCGGAGCAGACGCCCTGGCCAGGGTCTACGTGTAGACGAGGAGCGGAGGACTGCAGGTCCGAGCCAGGATTCAGGTCCGCTCAGCCTCCTGAACTCAGAGCGTCGTCCGTAGGAAGGGATCCGCAGGAGAAGGCTGAAACCCCCGAACACACGCAGACGGTCGACTCCTCCTCCGGACTGAAACCCGCCTCAGCAGGCGAGACGGCTCCGCCCCGCGGACCGGGCCCCGTCGGCCCGTCCTTGTTTTCGTATTTAACACTGCAGACGTAGGAACGTTAAAGGAAAGATCCCCCTGCAGCAGCCTGGCCTGCTGGACTGCGGCCATCCCCGTCCGCCCCGCCTCTGGCACCGTCCTCCCCGCCTCTGGCACCGTCCTCCCCGCCTCTGGCACCGTACGTCCCAGCTCCGGCACCATCTGCCCGGCCTCCAGCGGCACACCTCCCGCCTCCAGCCTCGTTCTTCTTTTGCCTTCAGGGAACGTTTCAGGGAAAACCTGGAGGTTAACGAACAGCTATTTAGTCTAAAAGCCGTCCGGTCCGAGTTCTGCAGCCAGACGGACCGCCGCTCTCATGTTGTTACCACCTGAGTATCGGACCTCAGGGTTCACCAAGCTGTGGCGATGCAGCGATGAACCCTTTTACGGTTCCGTTAGGTCCAGTGGGTCACACTGAGCTGCTTCCTTTGTATTGTATAGATTGTAAGCAGGAATTAGCGGATCAGTAGTGGTCACTGGGTGGGATGGTTGTTTAACTATTGCTCACACTGGTTCTGATGGTGCCGGTGTCAGTCTTCATCGGACCACCCAGCAGCTTCTACAGAGCATTAACCCCCGACCCCAGAACCCGAAGGCAGCTTATCAAGGTTCTCCTGCAGGGAAGACACCGAGTAGGCCCAACAGAACCACCGACCTCCTTCAGGTTCGGCTGCCTGATTTTGATCCGACAGAAAACCCGGAAGTCTGGAGGTTTTCCAGGCGGAGAAGTCGGGGGATTTTTCCTTTAACCTACAGAACAAAGTCTGGACTGAACCGATATCTGATGTTTGATCTGGTTTCTCCCCTTTTTTAAGATATTTAATGTGCTGATGTGGCCTGGAAATGTTTTAGCATCTGTGCAGTTTTAAAGAAATTCAAATGAAGGAACCAGAAAAAAAAGTTTTTTTTCTCTCCAAACACTGGCTGAGAAAAATGTCTGATATAGTGAGGATGGAGGAGCGGATCGGAACCAGAACTTCGCCTCCTCAGGCTGTAACGGCCAAACGGAGCACCTCATCTGAACACCAGTATTTTTGTTGCGTGAGAAAAGTCTAGTTTTTATAATCCTTTTTATAGAACTGTTGTTCCTAGAGCTGCCCTGTTCGCCATCCCAGCTGGTTGCCATGGCAGCCTGACTCTAAACATCCAGCCGCCACTGACTGGAGTAGCTGGAGTCGAGAGGAGGGGGTCAGAGAAACCGTTTGCAGGTGTCCATCCAGAACCAAGCAGGAACCAGGTTCTGGTGACACCCAGAGGGGCGGTGCCTCCGATGCTGCTGGTTGGAGGAGCCTCCTCTGGCTGCTGTCTCGTGGAGAGAAAGTCCCAATCAGTCATCAGCGTCGACGGAATAAAGCTTTCCAAGAACCAGAGGTCAGAAACGGGCCGTAGAACCCAGAGCCTTCCTCTGCATGGAGGAGAGGAAGCGGACGCCTGGTTCAGAGCGCAGCGACGTTTCTGTGATGGCGAGGATGAGAACAGCTGGACCAGAACCCAGCTGTGACCCAAACAGGAGCAGCTTCCTCCTCTTCCTCTCACGCCCTCTGTCAGTGTTCCCACACTCGCCCCCATGGCGAAGTCAGGACGGGAATTCTTCGTTGTTCTGATGCAGTTTTACTTTGAGTTTCTGTTGGTTTGAAGAGTTTGATCACAAGTCCAAATAAATTCTGTGGTTTTAAAGACGACTCGGATCAACTTTTTAACTGTGTGTCTGAAGCTGGTTTATCCCCATAAAGTATATTTTGTAGTCTTCCCATAAAAACAAACAAAATGAGGTTTAGATTATTTTTTTTTTATAAACCAGACGTTTTTCAGAACTGTACCACGGAGCAGAATACAGAAGTTGTACTGTACATAAAATGTATATAATGAGTAATAAATGGTGTACCGGTACAGCTGGCTGCTTCACTTCTTATTCTGGAGGGAAAACTAACTTCGATAAGCGCAGAACGTTGCTCTCCATCACAGGAACAGCTGTTTACCCCAGATCTATAGAAATAGAAGAAACAAACATCTGGAAATGATTTCAGGACCGGTTCTGACCCACCAGCTTGGAGACTCGTCCAGAACCTGGAACATCTAAAGCTCCACAGCTCGGAGCTCATGGAACCTGAAGATCCGTCTCACATCTGCTCAACGGGACCGCAGGGAGCTCTGGCAGACAGGTTCTGATAATCTGAGCCTAATTTGGACTCATTAGTTTAGTTTAAGCTCTTTTTCATTATAGCCTGTTGGCATTTAAAGAAAATAAAAAAAACATCAAAATAATTAGTTTCTTCCAGACAATTTCTTTGTGGTTGTACAACTAGTTGTTCACCACATACTAAAATAGTTTTTTTTCAAGATGATACAAAGTTAAATTTGACACAATTTGTTATAAAACAAAGAAAATTAAGTTTAAGGAAGTTATGCAGATCTGTAGAAGAATGTTCCTTTAATAGGGTAGAGCAGTGAAGCTTCAGTGCTTAACAGTTTGACTGCATTACTTTTATACTTAAAGTTGAATAGAATTCAACTCGTCATTAAACTCAGGGGCGCGTTTAGGAAACTTGGGGCCCTAAACAAAGACAGGCAGGGGGCCCTTTGAATTGAGAAGACAGCACTTAATATTGTAAGCGTTCTGATGGCATTTTAGACAAAGGATCTTTATCAAATACATCATTAATGTGCACAAATAAGGGATAATTGTATTAACCATACATGGAAACAGAGTTTTATGGGGCCCCCAGGAACTTGGGCCCCTAGGTAACTGCCTAGAATTGCCTAATGGTAAATCCCCCCCCTGCTTACACTGTCACAAGTAACAAAATTAACTCTCTGCATTTAACCCTCCCCTTGGGAAGCAGCTGGCTGTCATTGTGCGGCGCCCAGAGAGCAATCGGGGGTTAAGGGTCTTGCTCAGGGACCCACAGTGGAAGTCTGTGGGAGTGGGGCTGGAACTCAGAAGCTCTGGATTCCAAGCTCTATGCTCTAACCACTAGGCCACCACTCCCCCTACTACTTAAGTAGTCTTAAAAATGGTACTTTTACACTTTTACCAAAGTAAAAAGTTGATCCTCTAACTTCTTCCAAAGTGTTTTAAAGCATTAAGATTTATACTGGAGTAATAAACATGAATACTTTTGACAGCTCTACTCTGAACACATCCTGAACAGTCATATCTCCCCAAAACGAGCTGGAAAACTAAAGAACCCGTTAAATGAAGGAATTAGTAAAAAAAAAAAGAATCCCTCCAGAAAAAGGCAATTCTTTAGCTTCCCGTAAAGCCGGCCGTCCCAGCGGGCCTCCTGCTACCTGCTGAATCAGAGCGACTCTCTGCAGAGCAGAAAGCAGGACTGATCTCTGAATGAGGTGACTTGGAAGCAGCTGATTCACAGGTTTATTAGGGGTTAACAGAATTTACAAAGATGGAAACATAGAGTTAAATCATTTACAGAAGAGGGCAGATATAAAACAGGTGAGACAGGAAAGGGTGATGTTTATTTTTATGGAACGGGTCACTTCTGTCCGAGCTGGGAGAGCTGAGGAGAGGAGAAAACAGGCGGTCAGCAGGAGACGACTCCAACACAAACTTTAAAGGCTCTGAAGAAGTGGAAGATCTGACCTGTTTCATGAACTGAGCCGCGTTGAAGAGCTCGCTGCAGCCGTAAACCACCTTCCTCCCTGGTTTGGACTGAAAGCAAAGCAGAACCATTGTTACACGGATCCTCTAGAAGTTCTGCTCGACCCAATCGGTCAGTGTGAAGGAGGTTTGATCTGATCTGATTTAACTTGACTTTATGGTTCAGATCAAACTGAATTAATACCAAAGATAATCTGAGTTAATCCTTTATTAATCCAGGAGCATCTTGATTTTAAACGCTCCTCTAATGTGGATGACTTACACCCAGAGAATCAGGTTCTGGAAGCTGAACAGCTTTCATTCGTTCATCAAAAATGTCCTTAAAGCGACATAAAAAACTGAGATTAGCTGCTGCTAATGGAGGAACAAGCAGGTTAGTGGTTTAGGGGGTGAATACTTTCACTCTGGGAGGACTGGTTTGGATAGCTGCTTCCCAGGATAAATCAAATCTCTATTTAGGATCTTATTTTTCTAATTACTTGGATGATGTTGGATATTAAAACTTTAATCTGACACCCGGCAGGGCTGAAAGAATTCTGATTGGTCGACTTAATGAGCTGATTAACTCATCAAACTGAATCCTAACTGGAGACGTGTGTTAAAATCCGCTGGTGTTTTTAGCTTCTCTCCAATCGACTATCAAACTCATTCAGGCTCTATAAAGCCTGGAACTCTATGCTATTTCTGACATTTTAAATATAGAAATATTCCTAGATGGGAAGAGAAACGTCTTCAAACTTGGAAACAAAGTCCAGTGGATTGTTTTTTAACTTTTTTGGAACAACTATGACCTGGATGACTGAGAATCTTCACCAGCTTAGTATCAAACTCCTTTTCTATCCAGTTATCACCAAATGAATCAGTTAAGTTATCATTAGCTGTCAAACATTAAACGCTGTGAGGATTGAATCTGTTACTTTGAGAGGCAGACCTGCATGGTGTGATCTCCTGCACTGTCAGGACTGGAAGATTATTCCGGACATTTTAATCGAAGCATTCAGGAGTAGTTCATATGAGCTGTCAGATTTCATTAGAAGACATTTCTTTTTGCGAGGTGAAAGCTCACTTAGATCTGCCGTCTCATCACTTAAAGACCAAGAAAATCATGTTTTTTAAGTGACTTTCTTTCACTTATTCCAACATGATCTGTCTCTTAGAGACGGATGTTTCTCCTGCTGGAACTTCACCTAAAGTTAAACGCTGCGTCATGCTGGGAAATCTGCTTTTTTCACCATAAATTAAATAAAATAGACATTTGAAAGTTTGTTTCATGTCTACTGTTTTCTCAGGAGTCGTGGAAAAGTAAACTGAAGTTATTGTCTATTGTGGTCATTATGGAGGTATTCAGTAATTCACTGAGAACCCAAAGCTTAGTTAATATGAAATCCCAGCCTCCATTGGTTAATCTATGTGGTCCAACAGCACAAACAATACTGAAAGAATAAAGAAAATAGAATATAGAATACTGGCAAACACACAGTAGAACTGAGTTCATTTTTTTTAATTTTGACATTTTCTTGCGTTTTTGACCTTATCCAGTTTAAGTGGAAAGAGATTATATATAAATCATTAAACACATGAATAGACCAGAATACCCCAGCAGGGATCAGTGTGACGGAAAATGGATGGATGGATTATGAAGACCCAGGAAATAAACACGGAACATAAAATATTTCTCATATATTAGCTCTTATTTTATTTCGCTTTCATGTTCACTCAGGTCAGCCGATCAGCTGCTGTCTGAGGCGCCTAACACTAAACAGAAGTTTGATAGATTTTATAGTTCTGATATTAATTTTATGTTTTTATGTCTCGTAAAGGTTTTATTTATGTTGTTTCCCTGTACAGCACTTTGGTCCTTCAAGACATTTTAAAGTGCTTTATAATTAAATTTGGATTGGATTTTACTTTGAAAGGCTTTGATTATACTTCTGGTTCTGACAGAGCAGGAGAACCTCACAGTGCAGGTCTGCAGCTAGACTGTCTTGGTTACTTTCACTTTTTTTCTTTCCTTTTAAAATGAGCAACAACAGAGTTTTTTGTTCTATGTTCAAAATGTTAGTTTGTGGAGCGATGAAAGAAGAGCTGCACAGTTCAAATCGAGACAGCGGTGCAGAGGCAGAGATCCTCCATCAGAAAACAGCTCCAGTACCTTAGTGTAGTCCACCAGGTTCTGGTACTCGATGTAGTTCCCTCCTCCGACCACAAACACGATGGCCTGAAACAGAAGATCGAGGTTTCAAACAGAATGCTACAATTTAGATGAACCAGTCACAAACAAACAGGCTGACCAATCAGCATTCAGGAGGAGGGAGCTTCCTGACTGGTTGAACCTGAACCCAAAGGAAATCAGAACCAAACTGCTGACAGATGGACCAAGTTCCTGATGCGTCTCAGAGTAACTGGGATCTAAACTGATCCTGGATCAGAACCTTTGATCGTTCCGAATCACATCAAAGCTCCGACCTTCTGACTGCAAACATGCTTTACATCCATGCTGCGCCTCCTGATGCCACAGTCTATCCTGACCCGCTTCTACTCCAGAAACTAAACATACCTCCTGAAATGGGTTCTTGTTCCTGGGAATGGAGCTGAAAAAGAAGTGGAGGAGATGAGAAGATGGTTCTTACAGGGGCCTGTTCACCTGTTCTCCGTGTGTGGTCCTACCTCTCACTGCCTCGAAGCATCTTTGGGTCAAAGTAGCGATAATCATCTGTTTCCTGGACACATGAAAACAGAGAACACCATTAAAACTATGACTAAACCGATTTAAATCAGCTTTGGGTAACATTAGCTGACGGGTTAATCTTAACTTCAACTTGAAAAAACAAGCAAACTCACAGGATGAGACTTCATTTCCATCAGGTTGTCCAGGAGCCGGGTGACTGGAAGGTTCTGAAAATTCAACACAGCAGCTTTACAATATTAATATTGTAAAGCTCGTAATTATTACGAAATTAGAATAAAGTCATAAAACTACGACAATAAAGTAATAAAATAACGAGAATAAAGTCGTAACATTACAAGAATAAAGTCAGAAAATTATGAGAATAAAGTGAGTGAACCCAGACAGGTGGGAAACGACAGGCTAGATTTAGGAGATGTTAGCCCTCAGTGTCATGGCGTGTTAACCACTAAGCAGGGGGGGGGGGGGGGGGGGGGGGGGGCTAGATGGGGGGTCAGGGGTGTCCATGGCCACCCTCGGCCAATCATTGGCCAACCCTACCATTTTTTCCCCATCTAATACAGATGGTGGCAGCATTCATACTCT